TCCTTTAACCATTTTTTAAATTGGGTTGTCTTTTATTTTTGAGTTTTAAGATGTCTGTATATATTCTAGGTACAAGTCCCTTATCAGATATATGATTTGCAAATATTTTGTCCTATTGTGTAGGTTTTTTCACTTTTTTGAGTGTCCTTTGAGCATAAAAGTTTTTAATTTTGATGAAGTCTAATTTATCTATTTTTTCTTTTGCTGCTTGTGCTTTTGGTGTCTTATCTAAGAATCCATTGTCAAATCCAAGATCATGAAAATTTACCTCTATATTTTCTTCTACGAGATTTATAGTTTTAGCTCTTACATTTAGCTCTTTGATAGATTTTGAAATAATTTTTGTATATGGTATGAGTTACGGGTCTGAATTTATTCTATTACCTCTGCCTATCCAGTTGACCCAGCACTGTTTGTTGAAATGATTATTATTTCCTCAGTGAACAGCCTTGTCAAAAATCAGTTGACCATTGATACTTAGGTTTATTTCTGGTCTGTCAATTCTATTCCATTGGTCTTTATGTCTATCCTTATGCCAATACCAGACTGTCTTGATTTCTGTTGCTTTGTAGTAAAATTTGAAATCTGCAAGTGGGAGTCCTCCAAGTTTTGGCTATTCTGGGTCCCTGAATTTCTATATGAATTTTAGAATCAGATTGTCAATTTCTACAAATAAACCAGTTAGGATTCTGATAGGGATTGTGATGAATCTGTAAATCAATTTGCCATCTTAACAATATTAAGTCTCCCAATCCATGAACATGAGATTTTTTTCCCATTTACTTAGATTTTTAAAAATGTCTTTCAGCAATGTTTTTAGAATGTAATTTTTGTACTTCTTTTGTTACATTGAGTCCTAAGTATTTTATTCTTTTCGATGCTATTGTAAATGAAATTGCTTTCTTAATTTCATTTTTGGATTGTTCATTCAGAGTGTATAGAAATACAATTGATTTCTGTGTATTGATATTGTAGCAATACAACCTTTTTGAGCTTGTTTATTAGTTCTAATGATTCTTTAGTAGATTCCTTAGGATTTTCTAGATACAAGTTCATGTCATCTGCAAATAGAGATAATTTTACTTTTTCCTCTCCAATTTGGATGTGTTTTAAAATATTGGAACATTTTTACATATTATATTGCAGGAGGGGTTTAGGATCTGTTGTCAGATATACTGTCTGAAATGAAAGTGGCAATAGCTTTTAACTTATTCCCTGTCTCTTCTTGTGTTCCTTTCCAATTCATCATTTTTACTGGAGTCAAGGTGATCTTGTATTAGATAGGGTTATTTGATTGCAAGCCACAGAAACAAACCCTACATAATTTAAGCTAAAAAATAAAAATAGACTATGGAATGCATAAACTCTAACAATTTGTACTGCCTTTGTGTCACTTAATTCAAGATTCAAACTTAGCAGTGTCTGATTGGCCAAGCTTAGATCACATGCTCTCATGGGTGTACTTTGGTGGTAAAAGGAAGGATTTGATGGAAGTAACTTGAGGAACCTCTTTTGCAGAGGCATTTACTGTCCACTAAAGTGGAACATTCATTGGAAAGTCTCCCCAAATAAATTGGGGTTCCACTAAAAAGGGAATAGATCCTGCATTACTAACAATGTCAAATATTCACTAGAGATATTTTCTAAAATGCAAACATGTCACTTCTATGCTTACTCTCCTTGACTCTTCATTGCCCACAGGATCAAGTTCTAAATCCTCAGCATGGTAATAAAGGTTTTTCATAGCCTAGCTCCTACCCTCATCTCCATTTCAATGCAGCTCAGCATTTATGAATATATCAGACTTTGTGCTATAAGCTGAAATACAAATAAGCACTCTTGCTTTGAGACATTTATAGTCTAGTAAAAGATGTATATTAGTGTGATCACCCTTCAATTGCCTAACTTGTCTTATAATAATAGCTAGGGTGACCATAAGTCCTGGTTTTTGCCTATTGTCCTAGTGTAGTTACAATAGCACCAACCCTCTTTCTCAATCTCAAAAGTTTCTAAGTTTGGACAATAAATTATAGGTCAGTCTAATAATAGCATACCTATGCTTCCTCAGTTAACTCTGAGCAAAACAATTCTGTGAAGCACTAAATTTAAGGTCCTAGCAGGAGTGAGATGGTACATTCCTGTTGGATAATTTGAGTAGAGTTTAATAAAAAGACTATTTGTAAGGGTGTGGGCAAAATGTAGAGAAACCCCAAGGGGTTTAGCACGGGTTACCCTACGGGAATAACTGTGACCTTCAGTGGAAGCATGCAGCCAGCCTGCAATGGCGCCACAGCAAGGATGGCTGGGGGATCAATGCCCACACTCCTCTCTTTGTGGTACTGCTGTTGCCTCCCATTGCCTGAACTCAACTGGAACCTAAGAGAAAGCAAGCCCTTTGAGTTCAGGCTCCTGGGGGAAGAAAGGAGGATGGAGAGTGGATCTGACAAACAGACATCTTCCATCAGGACTCACTGTTACTACTCGTTTACAGCAAGAAAAAAATGAGATGAAGAAAGGCTAACTTGCTCAGTGTCACCAAGCTACCAAGTGGTAGTCTGGAGTTGAAGTGCCATGTTTGCCCGACTCTACCAGGCATCAATACCCTTGAAACCACTGAATCTTTGCTCCTTCTATTCCCTTGTTTGGAATGTCTTCATTGCTCTTGCCTCTGTACTATATTCTTGGTGAAGCCTTTCCTGTTCTGACAGGCAGAGTGAATAGATCCTTCTACTGTGCTTTAAAATCCCATAATTCATGTATCTTTTCTAGGATTTGGCTTATTTGTCAGAGCTGTTTAAACATCTGTCTCTCAGCAGACTGTGCATTGATTAAGAGTCAGAGAGGCATCCTCATCTTAAAATTTGTAGTTCCTAGCACAGTGCTAGGCATAGAATTAAAAAGGTAATCAAATCCCTTAGCAACCCTATTAGGGAGGAACTATTATTAGACAGATTTTAAAGATGAGAAAATTGAAGTACTAAAAGGTTAAGTAATTTGCCCAAGGTCACACAGCTATGAAGTGGTAGAGCCAGAATTTAAATAACTTCATAAGGAGAACTGACATTCTGAAATAGCCTTCCTTGGCTATTTCAAGGTAGTAATTAAGTTGTATTTTCTTTTATTGTGTGAGGAAGATCAGCCCTGAGCTAACATCCAATGCCAATCCTCCTTTTTTTTTTTTCCTGAGGAAGATTGGCCCTGGGCTAACATCCATGCCCATCTTCCTCTACTTTATATGGGACACTGCCACAGCATGGCTTGACGACCGGCGTCAGTGCGCCCGCGGGGATCCGAACCTGCAAACCCTCGGGCCTCCGCAGCAGAGCGTGCGCACTTAACGGCTACTCCTCCAGGCCGGCCCTTTAAGTTGTATTTTTATTAAATATGTTTATACCTACCTGTCAAAAAAAACAGGGAGAGGGGAATTTAAGGCATTGCCCCTAGTCAGTGAAAAAATTTAGGCAGAAGCTGGGTAAACTGTGATGATTTGTCCTAAAAGGGTTTCCTCAGATGAGATGTTGGAATAAGGGATTTAAAGCTTTTGTGACGAGAATAAACTAACCTAGCCACAAAAGTAGGGGGTCATATTCTTATAATCTAATCAGTTATTTTCAACATAAGCATTTACAAACAAAATAATAAGAATAAAAACAATTAATTAAATCCCGCAGTCTGGTCTGGTCAGTATAACACAAAATGGAAAGTTGGTTTGCAATTGCCCTTACATCCGACTGGCAGCGTGTGGAGCAGTCTTCTATAGGGTGTACCTGAGACCTCCGGTCCATGGGCAGTGCCGCTGTCTAATCCTCCCTATGGCAGAAGGGACAAAATGTCCATATCGAGAGAGATGAAGATCAAAGTATTTCTCTCTTCCCCTTTGCTTTGCATAGCACTCATCCACGTGGTAATCAATTCAACACTTACTGAGCGCCTACTGTATGCTTGACATACAATAGTGGTCCTTGTCTTCAAAAGATTTGAAGTCTAGGGGCAGAAATTTGTCAAAACTGAGGAGGGTAGAGCTTTGCAAGTCTGGGCCCGCCCACAGAAGGGGTTCCACTCAGAGTCCCTCATCTTTCTTTCACTGAGAGTACTTGCATCGTACTCTCATCCCTGGAGGTTCCACCCGCGTCCTGCCGGTGGCCTGCAGCCTGGGTGGCCTCAAGCCCCTCGACCCCTCCCGGGGCAACTCATCGTGTGCTTCGCAGCAGCCGTACCCGCGCCTGGAGCCCACTCACCCTTAGCCAAAGGCGGCGCGGCGCCTTCGAATTCTGCGGCCCCTCGGGGGCAGATGGTGGGAGGGGCAGACGCAAGGCCCTGAGAAACCTGGGAGCTGGAAGTCTCTGTCAGACTCTGAGGCGCCCCAGTCTACAGAAGCGGTTTGTCTCTCACCTAATTCAATAGATCTGGGTTTTCCCTGAGGGCACAATCTCGTGGGCCGATCACAGCCCTTCCCAGCCTCACCATGCTTTCTTTCCCTGGCTTCAGTCCAACTGGTTCCCCACCTCCGACCGGTGGCTATCCTCAATCACCTTGTCGTCGTGGGCTTCCCTCTTCGGCCCCACGAGGGGCCGCGGGAATCTACAGCACCTCTGACACATCTCGCCATCCAACCTTTGACCGGGCGCCGCGCCACCCGGCACGCACCAGGACCCTGCCATTCTGCCCGCCGCACAGACGAGCAGTAACGCCCCAACATCTGCTGAAAAAATCCTTTCCCACGGCGGAGGAGTTCCCCAGTCCCACGCGCCCGGAGCCGCCCCGACTCCACAGTCCCCCGCCTGGCGCCGTCGCCGCGCCCCCCAGCCGCAACCCCGCGCGCGCCTCCGGGTCGTCGGGTCTGTCTCCGGCGATCAAATAAAGTCGGCTGAACCCCCACGTGTGACCAGCCAGCTCTCGTTACTCCCGGGGGCGGCCTCGGCCCACGCGCTCTAGGGCAGTCAACAGCTGCCTTAATTCTCCAGCGGGGGCGTTCTCTTCTTCTTCCCAAGCGGGCGGTGGTTGGTCGTCCCCAGCAGCGACTACTACGGCCTCTTCCTCTCCACTGTGGTCCCCTACCCGGCCGCACGCTACAGTGACAGCTTCCAGCTGCCTGCCTTTTAGTCTCTCTGCTTTATGAAGAGAATTGTGGAGGAGCAACTCTTCCTTCGTGGGGTCTGCCCAGCCCCACTTCGGTCGCCCACTCCTGGTGGCCCGCACCCCTTGCAAGCCGGTTCCTCCGGGTGGGGCATGCTTGCCCGGGGCTAACTTTCCGCGAGATGCTGTCCCCGCGGACCTGTCTTGCCCGAGTCCCTTCCCCCTCTCCAAAGGCACTCTAGCTGCCCGCTTCGCGAAGCGCGTGGCGCGACCCTGGGCTGGGACCTCCGCGCCCAGGCTTTTACTCGGACTCCAGCACGTGGTGGAACGGGGGGTAGCGGCCAGTGCGCAGGCTGGGGGCGTCTCGGTGGCACCGGAGAGGGTCCTTTGGGGCCGACCGCAACATTCGGGGAGGGCGAGCCCTGCGGCCTGAGCTTGTGGACCCCGGCTGAAGGCCCGCCCACCAGCCTCCCTCCCACCGCCTCAGCCCTGGCGCGCAGGCTCACACCCCTTCCTGGGGAAGCAAATGGTCCCTTCCAGGCGGGTGGCCATGTTGCTCTAATAAAGCGGGAGGGGCGGCGGCGTGGGGGGAGCAGATGCTGCTGGCTGCGAGCGGGAGTCGGGCGCGAGCAGAGCGCAGCCGGGAGCGAGCCGCGGGGGAGGCGAGCCGGAGCCGGAGCAGCAGCTAGTGTTGGCGGAGAGCGCCCGGGCGCAGCCGGAGCCGCAGCCGCAGCCGCGATGGCCGTGGCCGTGGGGAGACCATCTGTGAGTGCTGGGGCCTCGCGTCCCTCGCCGGCTGCTCCTCCAGCGCTGGGTGGTCCCCGCTTTCGGGCGGGTGCTGGCGAGGAATACGGGGGACCCGGGCGGGGGCTCCGGACGGTGGCCGCTGCGGCTTGGCTGTGGGTGTGTGCATGAATTTGGGCGCGCGTCGGGGGCCATGGGGAGGGCGAGGAGCCCAGAGGCTCCGCTACTACGTGATGCAACAGTGTATCGCCTCATCGCCCCGATTCCAGGGATGTGGGAGAAAAAGGACCCCTCTCTTATTTTCCCGTTAAAAGGATTCTTTTAGTCACGGTGTTTCTCGGCTGCCTCCCTCTCCCGGCGCACACCTTTTCCCTCGTGACAGCCGAGAAAGGCGCCGAGTGCGGGGGTTTCCTGCCGGCTCCCCCACGCCGGGGGGCGACCAGGGCGTGGGAATTGTTAGCCGAAGAGCTGTGTGTCACACGGCTGTAGAAGCGGGTCAGAAGTAAAGGGGTGGGATTTCCGTGGTGGCTTCCCCAGTGCATTGTGAGATCCCGGACACCCTCAGGCACCACCCGGGTGACCGGGCCCTGCCCAGGATGTGGACAAAAAGCGTAGATACACACACAAACTTTTCAAAAGGCTCCCTCGTCGTGGTGGGTGGAAGTATTAAAATGCGCTGCGGCTGGAAGGCCGGGGGCGGCGGGCCGAGTAGGCGGGGACGCGAGGAAGAGGAAGGGAGGGCGTGTGCGTGGAGAATCGGGTGTCCCACCGCCCCGAGCCGGGGAGGGAGGGAGCGAGGGGGATGCTCCGGCCCCGAGCTTGCGGGCGGGGCAGGGGCCGCGCCTCCTGGGCTGCAAGACTCAGTTCGCGACTCGGCCGGGCCGAGGGGAGCCGGACTTGGAGGGTGCGGTTTCAGTCGGTGCCTGCATCCCCGGGTGAAAGGCGGAGGGAAGGGGCGGCGGCGGCCTTTCCTTTTTATTGAAAGGAGCAGAGCGGCCTGGGAAAGGCGGAGTCGGCTTTCTTGCTCTTTCCCCATTTCTTTGTCGATGTTCCAAGTCCACTTTCGCTCCACCGGCTTTGGGGGCGCCTCGAGCGAGGTTCTTCCCGCTCTCCTGCCTCCTTTTCCTTTTCTCTTCCTCCCCTTCCCATAACTGTGTAGCTGCAGGTGGTGGCTTGAGAGATTTTGTAGTTGTAGACGAAAGTCTCACGGGGATACGAGTAGCTCTGAAACCCCAGAAATGCAAGGCTGTGCTCTCGGACTCTTGGCTCTTCCTCCTGGCTCCTCCCCAGATGCACACGCCTTTTGGCCCCCAGGCCCCACCCGCCTGGGAAGTTCGCTGGATCCCTCTGCGTGTTCCAACTCGGTTTGGTGGTTCGGCTGTGGCGCTGTTTTCAAAGACGTTTTCCACAGTCAGGAAATGTGCAGTGGTCACATTGAAGTGTAACTGTGGGTCTTTTAGGATTTTAGACTCTAATATTTAATGACGTACTTTTAAGAATTCAGTTCTTTTGTATACAAAGTGTGCTCTCGATAATCAGTGGTCATAGATTGTTGTTATTGAGGGAGTTTGCATAGTCTCTCGATTAATCTCTATTTTTCTGGTGAGGAAATTGAGGTCCAGAGAGGTCAAGTTTATCTGGTTAAATCCCCCCCCCCCAATTATACTTATTTCCAGGGCGCAGATTCAGATAACTTAAATAACAATATCTGTTTCAGATAATTGGAGAGCTTCTAGGAATGCAAATGTTGAGGAGGGGTGTCTTTTTCAGTAACTCCTATTGCTGGTGCATTCTTGAAGCATGGGGGAGGTGGAAGAAATAATTTGCTGCACATTTTCTATAAATTAGTTGGTTCATATATGTCAGTTAAATAGGAACAGTATGTGCATTTAAGATTTCGTTGTGTGGCCGTAATCATATCCAACACCAGGTCTGCCAAACAGATGTGAGCTTAATCCCACAGAATTCTTGTGTAAGACCTCTCTCATTCAAATAATAGAGGAGATTTTAAAAAGTGTATGTGTACTGAGGAGGTAACTGCTTCCTCTGCACATTCCCTGTTGTCACTGGAATTAAGATTAATTTACAGTTTAAAAGCAGAAAACTTTTTTTTGGACTGAGTTGTGGGTGATGAGGAGTTGACTAGAAAGTTAAAGAGTCTTTTCATACATTTTCGAGGAGTTGAACTATTTCACTTTGTTCATTCAGTTACTGTCTTAAGTGTGGTGTCTGCAATTATGTCTTCAAAACAGCCCCAGTGAATGCAGAAGATTCTCCAAACCCAGCTCCAAGGGATCGACACTGCATCCTTCACATTAGAATTCTTTGCCCCTCCTGTTCTCTTATCTATTCTATGATTTGAACAAAAGAAAGGAAGGGTGTGTTGAGGGAAAAGAATCACTCCAAAGTTAATTTGTGTGTGAATGGAGTTTCTCTAGTTACTCCTTTAGAATTAGATTTTTTTAAGTTCTTTAGGAAAACATGAGTTTATCTCCTTTCCCTACAAACTGCCTGTCCCATCCAGATTGAAGGAAGGTTCAGTCAGAATAATTTGCCCTCAATTTTAGACATTGTTGAATTTGAACATCCGCAGTGTGATATCCCAGGTAAATACAACTATTTTACTGGGCAAAAATCCTTATATGTCAAATGCAGACTATCTTATGAAGTGGTTATGTTCAGTTATAACTGTTTAAACCTCAAGGCTAAATTCAGATGTTTCTTAAGTGGATTTGTTGTTGGCTGGAAAACCAAAGCTTCAGTTTAGTGTGATAATGTTTATTTCCATTTTAATCTTGACCCCTACCTTCCCCATTTTCCCAGGGATGGTTTTGGGGCTTGGCTCTGAGAAGACCCTGAAGCACATCTGCTCTTTCCAGAGTGTAACTGATGATTAGCAAGAGCATTTCTCCCCTAGGGATGTGTCCATATTTTGGATGAGTTAGTATTTTTGCATCCAAGTCCCAGGGCAGCTATTATCTTTATTTTAAACAGAGCATGGTAATTTACTCTACCTGGGAATCAGGCTTTATGTGGCTGATCCATTCTCTCTTAAGGTGTGCTGTTCAAGTTAGAGAGTCTAGGAGCTGAAAGGAACTTTAGAGGCCATTTGGTTCAGCCTCCTCCCCAAAGCAGAAATGTTTCCTACTTGATCCCTAACAGAAGGTATGTGTTTAAACTTTTCTGGTGGTGGAGAATCTCCTATGATATCCTTCAAAAAACACATTTAATTGTTCTTTTATCTGTTTAGCCAAGAGATATGGAAAGCCAAGTTTATTTATTCGCTCGTTTAACACTATTTGAGTACCTCCTATGTGCCAGGTACTGTTCTAGGTGGTGGAGATACAGCCATAGACATGAGAGAAGGGAATTTCTGAGCCTTTATTTTCTGAGAGATTTAGTGTCCATATGTATTAAAGTGACAGACTTCAGTGGAGTTATGTAAGCCATTTAGGGACAAAGGGAATTATGTGCCTATTGCTGAGTCGACAGTTCTGATGCAGGTGAAGGATCTTATCTGATGATCATTGTAGACAGTTCCTGAAGATATGGTCTGTCTGCAGCAGGAGGAGGGTGGGGACTGCCAACAAAATGTCATTTCCCCTTGCTATAAAATTGCCGTTTCCATGACTTGAGGATGTGGTCCCTACATGAAGGGCTCTGGTTGTTATACCTGGAGAAATATTAATGGAGCTGAAAAAGGTCCAGGAGTTGGCCATCTAAATGATCAAGGGCCTGTTATCTAGGGGAGGTTTTTAAAAATTAAAACTCTTGAGGGGGCCGGCCCGGTGGTGCAAGCGCTTAAGTGCACGCGCTCCGCTGCAGCAGCCCGGGCTTCACCAGTTCGGACCCTGGGCGCACACCGACGCACCGCTTGTCAAGCCATGCTGTGGCGGAGTCCCATATAAAGTAGAGGAAGATGGGCACGGATGTTAGCCCAGGGCCAGTCTTCCTCGGCAAAAAAGAGGAGGATCGGCATGGATGTTAGCTCAGGGCTCCTCACAAAATAAATAAATAAATAAAAATTTAAACTCTTTAGTCAGTGATATAAAATATACACGTTGAGGCTCTATAAGCCATTATTAAGGAAAGCAGGAAGTGTTTGAGGTGCAGTAATCCCTCCTTTTTAAATCTTTTGAAAGCTATAGATAATTATCTTTTAAAATATCTTCTTTAAAAATGATGTATGTCCATGTCACAATGAAAAATAGACCCAAGGAATTGATTAAAAGAACAAAACTACCCGTATCCCGCCATCCTGATGTAACAGCTCTTAGACTGTTGGTGTATTTTCAGCCTCTCTTTAAGGTTTACACCAGCAAGCATAACCCATCTCACATAAACTGCTGCTTAGAAACCCAGCTGTGTGCCTGGATGGACCCTGTCTGACTATTTGGACATTCATATAATGGAGGAAACAGATGCTTAGTGCTTTTACAAGGGCCACCCTCTGTCTGTGTCCAGACAAAGGAATGAATGATTTGGGTGGCCTACTTTGATTGATTGCCAGAAGACCCAGTGTTTAGACCCATGATGATGCCACAGCTAATAATGATCTTTGGGTTTTGACTCCCTGTGGAGCGGGCTACAATCAGGGTTTTCTGTGCCTGTGTTTTTTTTTATAGGATCTTAAACTTGGTTGGGGGCATAGGGGTTGCTCTTGGATTTTATTGTTTATTGAGAAGTTTCATAGCCTTAGCTAGACTTGTCTCAACTGAGGTCAGCGAAGCTGAATCATTATTTAAACAAAGACCCAGCAGATCTAAAGCTTCTATCCTTTTTCCCTAGGAGACCTACTTACAATATAATAGATACCTCCTTCGTTTTGTTGTTTTATTTATTTTTTTAAATCCAGATTGACAGAAACTCCCTTCCAACTAAACAATACGTCTCCTGACCCACTCAGGCCTGCTGGCAGCCCATCAATGCAGCTGCTGTAGCACCTAAAGAGAATACTTGGGCTAAAGTGATACCGACAGACTTCTAAAAAGAATTTGCTGGGTGATCTAAAGTCAAATTTGCATCATCTCAGGCTTGGCCTGCGGTAGAAATCACGAGTCTGTTCCTTGATGTGACCAGAGCCATGGCATTAGAGCTACTTTTCTTGGGATCCGTGCCAGTGAGTGTGAGCACCTTGGTCAAGTCAAAGGGCGCAGGAAGTCCAGTTGTGTGGACGCATTCTCTCCACCTGCTGAACTGTGACCATGTGGGACGGAGTGTGATGTGTTGATGGTGGAGGCCAGCTGAGGTGCAGAGGTAGGAAGGGCTTCATGCTCCAAAGAGAACTTGTTTGGTACCCGACAAGTGGGAACTTAGTTCCTGCCCCTTTTTTTGGCATTTTAAAAATTGTGGTAAAAATATCTATAACATAAAATGTACTTGATTGTTTTTGATAATTAAGTAACATTCCTTTGGGAAGAATTTATGATTTTCTTATTTTTTTCTTATAGAAGTGAATCACAATAATGTACATAGGTTAGAAATGGAAAAACAAAACAACCCTCAGCATCCTAACACATCCACAGGTCATTCTTGGCTTCCTAATCCATCTGTTTTATCAGATATTTCTTGTGCACTTTCTATGTGCAGGTGCTGAGGTTATGATGTTGACTACTTGAGATGTTGTCCCTGCTGCTGTCATCAAATTGCTCTGAAGGATGAGTCAGCATAGGGCTTAGCAAGGAAAGTGTGGTGGAAAAGTGTTCCAAGTCAAGGGAACAGCATGAGCACAGCTCTGGAAGTGAGGGAGAGAACCTCTTTAAAAAATCCAGTGGAGGTGGGACATCAGCATTCAGGATGGGGTAGAGTGGACAGACAGGAGGCTGGGAAGGTGGGAAGAGACCAGATCGTGCATTGCATTCTTCAAGACATATGCATATTTATTACAAAACTCTAAGTATTTTATATCCTGTCCCCCAACTTAGGATGTCTTAGATTCTTGGAATTGGTTAATAGAAGACACTGAAAATCCACAGAGTACTAACGCTTCAGGTTTCGGTAGAGTAGAGGGGAGATGAGAAAGGATCAAGGGAGTTGATTCCTTTCGTGGCCAAATTGGGTCCTCAAAGAACAGAGGAAGCAAAGACTGAGGAAGGACACAAAGAGAAGGAGGAAGGGTCCAGTGACAACACCTCCAGCAAGGTGTTCCTCTGTCTAGTCTTCTGTATGGAGCCCTTTCTCAAGATGTAGAACTAGAAATTCTGATTTTCTTAGATACTGAAGCAGCCGAGTCCTGGGGGGAGAATGGTAGGACACCTGCCACCTTGGACTGCAAGTGCCAATCGGTGTTGTCCATGAAGAAAATTAAAAACCTGTTGGATCCTATGAAAGTAGGAGAAAAGTCTGTTAAAAGCCAGGATTCTCTTAAGACTTAATGCCTTTTTCATTCATCTCATCCCTTTGTGTACTGTTTTCATGCCAATATAAATATCATGAATCTCCTTAAGGGTGCCCATTAAATTTACTCAGACCTGCTGTTGGAAGGAAAAAGGCTTGACCAAAACCTATGTGCATGGAAAGCCTGTTCAGCATCTTGATTTTTAAATTTTTTCTATTTAAATTACTGTCAAGACAGTTATCTCACTTTATCCTCACAAAATTCCTGAGAAATGATATAGACAAGGAAACTGTGCACAAAGAAGTTGTCACTTACCTAATCTGGTACAGCCAGTGAGTGAGAGAGCTAGGCTTTAGAACCAAGGGCTCTTAGACCAGCATGCATACAGACCTACCATCTTGACTGGTCAGTTAGGCTAAATTGTGCTGAGGTAACAAATTGATCCCAACTTTTGGTGGCTTACACAGCAAAGGTTTATTTCTCACTTAGGGTCCTTGTCTGTTCCATCCTCTGAGATCTCAGTATTGATCCCAGGACCCAGGCTGAGGGAGCGTCCTCTATCTGGACATTGCCTGTCTGGTGGCAAAGGAAAAAGAGACGTGCTGAACCCTGAGCTGACTTTTCCAGCTCTTAGATGGGTCACTTCAACAAGAACTTCATTGGCCAAAGTAAATGGTCACTCCTAAATTCAGCAGGATGGAGATAGATAATCTTTCTGCAAAGAGTGGCTCTGCCAGTCACTTGGCCAACCTTGAGGGCCATGGGATGGGGAAATAAATCCTCCACTAGGGAGGGGCAGGGAATATTTTGAATAATAAGAGTTCACTGTACCTTCCTCGTCAGAGCATCTACTATAGAGCCAAGGGTCTTTATTATTTTTTGAAAATCGTTTCCCTGTCTATACTGATTTTTCTCACTCTAGTTGTCCTACTCTGATTCCAGCTGGACGTGGTAGAATGACGAGAGACAGAGAAAGAGTGTGTGTGTTAAGCACCCAGAATGAACTGAAGGCAGGGTGTTGCTCTTCCTATTGTTCACTCACCATGAGCTTCCAGTAGCATCGTCACCAAGTAAGTGATGTGTGGTGACCTTCTGAAAGACCTTCTGTACTGCTCTTTGGTGGCCCCAGCTCTGGGACTGTACTCTCTGGGAAATGGTTTTGAGGCCATTAGGACTTCCAGCTGCTTGACAGAATTATTTCCCTTGGGATGCTTCCAAATCAGTCCTTTCCCAGCCCGTCTGTTCCTAAATGCAGATGCTCAGATGGCACCTTTCTTTTCCTCGCTTGGTTTTCTCTCACTGACAGGCAGTAGTATATCACATTTTAGTCAAGAATGTGGGCTCTGGAGCCAGGCTTCTGGGGTACTAGGGCATCACCTCTGCCATTTAACCACCTTTGTGACTTTAGGCAAGTGACTTACCTGTCTGCCTCACATTCCTCATCTGTTAAATAATAACAGTACCTTCCTCAAAGATTGACAGGATTGAATGAGTTAGTACACACAAAGTGCTTGAAACGTTGGTCCTCAATAAAAGGGAAAAGAATACTGAAATAATACTGGCTTTGTACTGCAGACTGGGCTCAAGCCAAAACTGCCCACCCATCCATCCCAGTAGGAAGTGAGCATTTGCCCCTTCTCCTCTCGCATCCCTGGAATGCACAGTCTTCCCTTTCTTTAGTCAGAGCACAGATCCAGTATACCGTCTTCTTGAAGCCCCCAATCACTAATCCAGGTTTGGGTGATTTTTCTGTCTTTGAGCTTCTGCAGCAGTGATCGCCTGCAGTACTTATGTGTCACCCACACAGTGTTCTGGAGCCCCCACCTTTCTTTAAGTTCCATTTTTTAAATAAAAAGGAATGATGAAATATAGTTTTGAATGTTAAAAAAAAACAAAACACCTCATTACTATAAGCAGTATATTCTGCTAGCCTTGATCATATCCATGCATTCTTAGCCTATACTGCCGGACTTAAGGGAAGGGACTGTGTTGAGCACCCCCCACTAATAAACCTTTGACTGAAAGAGTGAAAATCGATTCTTTGGATCAATTGGATAAGACTTGTGCAGGCCCACATCCTCTCAGTCCACCATTTTATTCCAGCTGGTGCAGGTGCAGGTCCTCAGGCAGGTGTAGACCTCGTATCTACAGCTTTCTGCCCAGGCTTCTCTGCTGTAGCCACATGGGTTCTGCTTAGCTATTCTGACCTGTGTGCATATCTGGATGTCCAAGGGAGTTACCATCTTATGGGACAACCTTGACTGATGAGGGATGGAAGCTGGTGGATAAATACTTCTCTCTTTTGTCCATTAAGTTGGATGATTCTGAGCACAATCTATATGGCTCTTTAGAGGGTCCCACGTGGGCCCAGCCCCAGCCCACAAGGGTGATTACCTCCGTCTGTATCCCCTCAGGATGGCTGTCCCTCCTTCCCTGTTTCACTGATCCCAATCCCCACTCCTCTTCCTCTGGATCACTTCCCCAAATAGCTGCATGTGTGCAGACCCTTGTCTTAGGCCCTTGCATTTTGGGGAAACCTAGGTGAAAACACCTTGTTTCCTGGTTTGAGGTTCTTTTATCTTATGCAAATGAAGGAGCATGAATGTTACTTTTGTAACATACCAAGTTACTCTGGACATTTAAAAAAATATTATCACAACAAACTAATCTTGTATCAAGTTTTTACTATTTATTAGAGGGCAGACTTCACACTGTTGTTAAAATTAGACTCGGAAAAGAAGAAAACAGGATATATCACTTAAACTTTTCTATAATTTTCATTTCTGGGTCCTTGGACTGGAACTCGCACATTCTCTCAGGGTAGAAGTGCCTGTTTCTGAGTGTGTAGTGCCTTGTTTGTTCTGTAACTTGTTTAACGCACCCATTTCAAGTGAATTACACATTTTATATTCTAGAAACTAGATACAGAGTTTACGGGGGGGAAATATGTTATTGGTATGTGAGCTGTGAACGTGGGCCAAAGCTTAAAACTGTTTTGAAAAAAATCAGAAAAATTATTGGGCTTACACTGTCTGCATATTGGAAAAATGAAGTAATAATTCTTGAAACAAGTTTTGATTAACTAATATTGAACAATTTCAAGAGCCCAGATTAACTTAAGTATCTGCCTGAGAGTTCTTAGGATAATTATTCAAATCATCCCTTCACTTTGTATGAGCCTAGCCAAGGGGCAGTCTCTCATAATGTAGTAAGATCCTTAGAAACTACATAAACCAAACTGATTCATTCTCCAATTTTCCCCACATTTGTCACCTTTGCTCCCACTCTTTGAGGTTTGGTCTGACTTTTTGTGTGGGTGGGCAATCGAAGACTGTTCCCCCAGCTGATAGAATGATTTCATTGTTTATCTATTACATACCTCTTTGTTTTCAAAGCCTTTTCCAATCCTTAGTCAACCTCTTAATCACTTCTTCACTGGGAAATGCTGGGTGATCCGAAGTTGAAGCACAGTTTTACGTCTGAGGTCTCTAAAGAAGTCTTTTAGTTTTTGGTAATCAAATTTGCCTCATTCAGAAACCAAAATTCCAAGGTATTTTATGAACTTAAGGCAGAAAAATTAATTAAGATAAAATTTCAGCCATTGAAATGACTAATTAATTTGTTGCCACTAGCTGCTTTTAAGCTGTATGGAAGAGAACCTGAGTCTAAATTGGGTTTTATAACCGAATCAAAGCTCAGGGTGGTGAGAACTCTTAGGGACTTGACGTAATGGACATTTATATGGGTATGTTGGGGAGTTAGGGCTACTGCTAAATATTGTTAAATCTTCTTTCTTGAGGAACTTGTATTCTTATTGCTCAAAGGCTTTTCCTATTTCTCATTTATTAAGTCGCTTATCAAACATTGAGCTCCAGCCAGCACCATGCATGAGTGAAGATGTCAAAACCATATTTCTTCTCATTCCCCCACCAAACCAAGTTAGAACCAAAATCTATTTTTGGCAAAAGGATCTCCCTGTCACTAAGATATTCAAAATCTTGGAATGAGGCTTGGATTCAGGGATGAGTTACCAACACTTGTCACTCCTACCTCATGTCTCAAGCGCTAGCAGCCTCATTCATGGTGTATCATCAGCCAATCAGATATTTTAGAATCTTCTTTATTTCTAACCCTGTGCTCCATGTTGTTGGAAATACGTAAGATATAGCCCATGCTCTCAAGAAGCCTGCACTTTAGTTGAGGAGAAAAGGCTGATACTCAGATAATGCTCAACTTCCATGGTTGGGAGGATCTTGTCAGGCTCTTCTAACCACTGTTCAGCCCTCGCCTTTTTCTTAGACAGTAAACACTGGGAACTTTGTTTAGCCTTCAAAGAGAGTAGGGCCCATTTTATTTCCCTTTTCTTCCCTTTTTATAGTGTAATTTGAGGACAGCTGGAAAGATAACCCAACTTTCTTTCCTCCTGGGTTACCATTAGAAATTTTTTCTTTTGGTTTAAAATAAGGATAAAAAGGGCCCATCAAAGGAAATTGGAAAATTGTTATCAGAATCTGGAGGGAATATTTTCAAAATCTCTGCCAGATTAATATGTGCACTCCATTCCCTTCTCAAAGCACACTGCCCACAGCGTGGCAGATGCTTTTGACTAGTAGACTAGTATCCTATTCTAGGACACACAGGCATTTCTGTACCCACCATGCTTACTGTGTCTGTTGTTTCCAAACCTGCTTGTGCCAGTTGTAGTAATCATTATAATTGCATTATATAAATTTATGAAATATAAGTGCAAAAATAGAGTTGCTTCTAAATTAGATGCTTTGGAAAGATTTAGTAAAGGCGAAAATTTAGTAAAGGTGAAAAGTGAAAATAAAACTGTCATGAATGTAATATGGTTAAGATAATCATAAAAAGTTGGAGGAAAAAATTCAGAGTGTGATGAAATGCTTTTAAATTCTGGCTCCGCTCGAAAGAAACAAACTAGAAATCATAGGTGATGCTAGAAAAACACCTCTAATTGAAATTCCTCTGACCCATTATGATGAAAAAAACCTTGACCCTTTATCAAAATTGGTGAATGAATGTATGCTTATGTGTTTTAAGGTAAAATAAAATGTTTAGGCTGTAATTGTTGTTTTTAAAATCTCAGTCTTTAAGTGCCTTTTAAGATAAATTGTCCAACCACTGCTCCTAACAGCCTTGGATAAAGGGACTTGTAGGTGACAGAACAACCATTCCTCCCAACTTCTGCTCCCCCCTCCCCATCTTCTGACACATATGTCCTCTGGTTGAGAAGCATTGTGTATAACTATCCCCACATGGGCAGTTGGGGAAAAAAGGTTGAGAATTACTGGTTTGTCCT